AATCTTTCAAGGGAAAAATAAAAACTGGCCTCATGTTGGGATCAAGCGTGTTATTAAAAGGACCAGAGAGGAAAGAGAGGGAGAGGATTTGCAAGGGATGTGCCATATGCAACTGGCCGCGTCCCTGGGGAAGGGCTGCAGCCTGTATATCAGCACCGAACACCATAAACACCCCAGCAATGGAAAGAATAAACACAAACAGATCTTTTACAATATAAAAAGTTTTGGTTACCAAGAAGATCGGCCTAATATTTGCATGGAAAATTCATGTACATTGTTAGGTGGTTTTTAAAAGTTTCCACAATCCTGACAAAGTTGGGCCCTCCGTGAGAGATTACAAACATATGGCAAACCCAAGTCAATGCTGCAGATAATAAACCAGCTGAGAGCATCTGGCCCAAGCAGCGTACAGCTGTAATGTTTCCTCATCTCTCTTGCTCTTGTTAGGCAGTATACAGACGACACACATTTGTCTAAGCTGTCCTTGCCGCTTGGACCTTCCCCGCTGCCTTTACCCATGTTTTATTTCACACGGAAATATCTGCATACGCACAGCCCAAGCTGCGTTTAAGCAACTAAAATGACAAAAAAACTCCAGCTCTGCTTCCAGTTACCTCCCCGTGCTCCGAGAGATTCGGATCAGCCAGCTCCTAAGCTGCCTCCAACATTTCTTTAGGGAGGAGAGGGGAAAAAGGCAAAGCGAGGGGGAAGGGATGTGAATTCCAGACTCCTGACATCAGCCCGGTCCCCGCGCCGGCTGTGGGGGGATTGGAGCCTCGCTTGCCGCGCCGCACATCGGCCATCCCTCCGAGCCGCCACGGCCACAGGAACAGAAAGGGCGGCAAAAGAATCCATCGTCTGAAAGGCCAGTCGCTGTTGTGTCAAAAAAACCTGAGAGGACATCATCTCTTATGGCGAGGGAGCCCCAGCAATGACCTGGAGCCAGTCGTGGTCATCTCGTAGGAAAGCAGTGTACAGCACTGGGCAGGGTACATTCTGCTCACTGTCACGATCTTATAGCCAAAATTGTGCAGCGTATTGAGAAGAAGGATGTGTGACATGGAAACAGAAGATTTTGCCAGCTCTGTGCATTAGCAGAATGGCACCACTCGCAAGCCATGTGGCAACCGCTTGCCAAAAGCTCCTACAAGGAGCAAGGCGATATAAGGTTATAGCAAGGCGATGGGCATTCAGCAGAGCTGGACCTCCTCCAGAAGCAACCGGCCACGAGCAGGTAGCAAACTCAGCCCTCCAGCCCCTGCCCAAAGCTCTCCGAGCAAAATCCCCCCCATCCTCAGAGCCCTGTGCAGCACTTCTCCTTTGTAAAGGATGACTCGAGCATCTGCCAGGCTCCCCGTGCCGCTGGGAACCTCCAGACACAACGCCCAATTCATCTTCGTTTGGAAGGAAGATCCTCTATGCCTCCATAACTATGATGGATTAGGTCAAAGCAAGATATTAACAGCAGAATAACAGGCTGGGTATTGCACAAACAAACTGCAAACCACGCAGGTAAGCAGCAGGAGAGGAAATTACCTCTCTTCACAGATGTGCAGGAGTGTCTCGCCTCCGCTCGCTCCAGGGAATCAAAAGGGAGCTGAGGACCACTCATGGTGCACTTCATCACTACCAGCATCGCTTTGAGTAGGGCTTAAGCAGCATGAAAATCTCCAGCACTTTCCAGAAAGATGAGCTTCACACGCAGGAGCAGCTCTTACTCCTGCCCAGCTAATCAGTTTATTTATTTCCCTTTGATTTTTCAGCCAAATCTAAACTCGGCCATCTCCTGTTAGGAGCTATGATGGCATTGCGCACAGAAGGACACAGACTGGACTGACCGAAACCAGGCTCGACAAGGTATTTCTTACAAGCTTGCGCGGGGCTTGGCCTTCAGCCGAGAACTGAATTAGTTGTTGCTTTATGAAAGCTTTTATTTTATTTTTTTTTAAACTTGCTATTTGATGAATAACATTACTATGCAGCATTACACACAGGATCATTCTTTCTCCCGCGATGCACAGGGCTCCCCCAAAGGGACTGGCAGCTCGGTCCCCGCTGCGCCGGAGGAGGGTGGCAATATACCCTCTACACAGGGAGGCAAACCCCAAAACGCCAAAATTACACCAAAATCAGACCAGAGGCTGCCCCCAAAGCCTGCACCCAGCGGCGTGTAAAGCCCTTGAACAAGAGCAAAAAGGATCATTACTCCCCCATTTTAACAGCGCAGAGATGACTGACTCACTGATGAGCCAACAGTGGCAAAAGGCGGAATTAAATCCCCAATTCCTCCGTGTCTGACCAACACTTTAACTACAAGACCAATCCTTCTGTGTTAATCTGATCCCTAATGATCTAATTACCTGTTAAAACCTGGGATAGAAGCAGTTAGTATTAAGTTTAGAACTCTACCGCCCGCTCAGCAGTGGCCAAGAGCCACTTTTTTCTTTCTCCCGCGTCAGTATTAAAGCAGATGAAGCGGCTTTCACCGAAATCAGCTCCCCCGGCTTTGGGCTGGGCACGGGCTCCGGCCAACCCAGGGACAGCGTGGCCATGCCCGGCCACCCGCCACTGCAGCCAAACCGCCTGCTCGGGCACAGCTGGGGGACACAGGAGCAGGAATACCCCTGAGGAGTTCAAAAGGAAACCAGAGCATCGTTAACATCCGAAGGTGAATATTAGAGTGTGCCAAACACCCCTCCCACCGCTGGCAAACCCCATTCCCAAGATGACTGGCTTGTTCCTTCTCACCTTTCCTTTCCCTGATGTTTTTATAAATGAAATTTTAAGTGGGAAGGAGGCCTTAAGCCCTGCTGATCCTTCAGGACATGAGCAATAATAAATAAGGGTGTTTTTTTTTTTTTTTTTAAAATGCCATTACACTTGCTAGTCACTGAGTAGAAGAGGGGACAACCAGCCCTTGCTTAGCGACTGCAGTGAAGGTCAATTAAAGACTTTTTCCATGTACCGTCTACCACACGACCGTTATGCAAAGGTTAAAGAGTTTGGTTTCTCCAAGCCTGATATCAAGCCCAGACCCTCCTAATTTTACCTTCCCTGCCCGAGACATTCTGTTTCGCTCACGCCAGGGGAAGCTCCGCTCTCTTCGGCATTTCTGCCCTCGCTTCCCTCCCGCCAGGGCTAACGGCTCTCAGCCCAGAGAAGGCACATGCCACCAGTTCCCCGCTCCTCTCATTTCATCACCTCCTCGTCTGTTCCCCAGCTTTTCTTAAAAGCAGGATGGACCAGCAGGAAAATAAGATATTATTTCTCCCTCCAAAAAAAAAAAACACAACAAACCCAACCCAAGAACCTAACGGAAACGGTGCTGTTCAAATTCAGTGCAAGACGGACCTGCAGCTTCTATGGACCACGCTGGAAATCCCACCATATGCAGCGTCAGTCAGGAGTCATTAATCTAAGCCATATTTACGCCTGTAATAATCATTTTTAACACCTGAAGCAAAGCTCTTGAATGAGCCCCAAAGCACTTTAGTAAGCGTCAAGATACATAAGTCGCTTATATGTTACTTGTGGGTATCTGTGTTTCCAGTGTCTGAAAAATTACCAAATTACAAATAACAAACCTCGAAACAGTTCTCTCCCCCATCATTTTTCAAGGTCTTTAATTAAATCCTTATCCCCGAGGATATCCGCGATATTTAAACTTGTCACCGAGTTGAAGGCTGAAGCTGTTGTAGCCTTGCAGTGCCGGTGACGGACGTTCTCCGTGGCCTCTCCGCTTGATGCGGTGGCATTCGGGGGCAGCCGCTCTCCCCGGACACTCCGCGCAGCCCCGCGGGGCCAACTCAGCCGCACCAACACGCGCCAGGTGAAAGGCAAAGCCGGGCATCCGAAAAGAGCAGTAAATTATAAGTTTAAATATATTTATTTTCCCAACTATATGCAGTCAGTTTTATAAATCTGTTATTAAAGTCCAATTATGCACAAGAAATTTTACAAATCTCTCCCCAAATTTTACAAACCTCTCCCAAAATTTTACAAATCTCTTCCCTCCCAGTTTTTCAGTGTGATTTTTCAAGCTTTTCCAGCTGTCATTTGGGAAGACCAGGGGTTTGGGAGGGGTGGGGATGGTTATATTTTGGGTTGTTTTGGGGTTTTTTTTGGGGGGGTGGTGCGCATGCGTTTTGTTTTTAAAGTGGAGCAATCGTGTGATTCCGGGAGCAGAGACGTCCAGAAAAAGAAAACAAGAAAACCTCACTGGCTATCTTCATACAAATCCCCACAACATTGCTTTATCTCAACTGCCAGTGTGTATTTAGCACGAGGACGCTGAGGACTCCGAGGGGATCCAGACCCTCCAAGCCACCCACCAGCCCGCGGTGGAGGTGCCCAGAGCGGGGTATGCAGCGTGGGGCTGGAAGGAGCAGAAATGCTGGTTTTATAGGACGGAGAACACATCTGGAAAACCTTCCCCCTATTCTTAATGGTTCTGTTGCACTCACTTGATTGCTAGTGAAAGGTTCTGGCTCGACATCCCCCCTGAGATCAAAGCCAACCCTTTGAGAACATCTGCAGTAATGAGCGCAGCAGAGGAGCTCCCACAGCACGGCCAGCCTGGTCCTCCCCCCGGGGGTCTGGAAAGACCATGCGTCCACCAGCCAGCGAGGAAACTGCTTCCCCAGTCAGGGCGACGTCCTCATTGCGATGAGAGCTGGCCCTGCAGTGGTTTGCATACTCCAAATGAGTTCACACCTGGATCTACCTCCTCCTCTTCAGCCCCCGACATGTTTTCCAGTGGGGCCGCAGAGGACGCCGTGTATTTGGCGTATTGCTGAAAACAAGAGTTGCTTTCCCAACTACTTTTCGCTCGTCTTATCGAAATGGGCAGGAGGCCCCCGAAGATCTCAATGGGCCAGAAGCTAAAAAGGGTTTTAGCAGAGCGGTTTAATCAACCAAAATTCCCCACCCCACCAGCACTGCCCACGAGACAAGGAAGCAGCTTTGCTGCCACAGCAGCTGTGTTACAGCTGTGTCCAACACCGGGCTTAAAAGGTCAAAGCCTTCCACTAACTACCACTGCCATCTCAAGGCACATCTGGAGCTTATTCTGTGTTACCTGACAACATCGAGCATGTCTTCAGCATCTTCACTGAAGGCATTCCTAGAATTTAGAGTTAAGCAAATTGCCTTTCTCCAACTTTTTGTCTTACAATACCCTTCAAAGTAGAAAAAAAATTTCCCCATCAGCATCCCGAGACACATTTATTGTGCAGAGCTGACCTGTCATTGTATTAACGCAATAACTGAGGCATTTGGGTGTCTGGAGAAGGGGTCACCATCCTCTAACAGTGGAGAACCAATTCTTCTGTATTCGGTTTCATAACAGCTAAAGGGCATCCAAAGACCTTCAGGACTTCATGACGCAGCACTTAGTCATACTATAGTTTATGTGCAATTACTGCCAAAGATTTGAGGTCATAAGGTGAAGAATGAATAAGCATTTATGTTCCCAGCTCATTCCAGGTGCCCTCTGCAACTTTCTCATCATTTAATACATAACCCACCAGTCTGGGTATTTGTATCCGAGTGTCACGTCCCCAGTGAAGCACGTTTAATGGGAAGCAAAGCCTTCCTATATGAACCAGCCATATAAACCAAGCTTGCCATCTTATCCCACAGCAAGTAATGACAGTAAATAAGGTGAATAAGGATTTTTTCCAAGAGTAGCATCTCCTTGAAGAGTATTCTCAAGTCCCACAGAAAGGTGGAAAGAACAGTTTTAACAGAAAAAGCAAAGAGATGCACTGCAATTAACCTGCCCGCAATTACCTAACCGGCTTAAATCACCCTGTTTCTCTTGCCCACAGATGGCTGATGGCATCCGGGCTGGCGAGAGCTGGCTCCTGCGCCCAACCGCGCTGCTCTCGCCCCCACAGCCTCGGCCAAGCCACTTACTGCCACGTAACTCAGCAGATATGATCTGGGTCTAAACCTCCCAGCTTTAATGCAACAAGGTCCACTTATGCCCCTGAAGAATCTACTCCTTAACATGCCCATCTCTCTTTTTTTTTTTGTCATCTTTAAGCCAGAAAACCACCACTAGCATCTGTGTTGCGAGGTTACAAGAGAGACGGTTTTGTAAGGCACGTTCAGGTGCTCAGATGACAAATGTGAAGTTCCCAAATTAATAATAGCAACGTATCATGCACAAACAATATGAAGGAGAGCACCACCCTGTCTCACTGCCTTCTCAAAAAGGAAAGGAGGATTCTTCAGAGCTGCCGGAATGCACAGCAAAAACCCATTCCTGGGAAGAGATGGAGAAGAGGCATATTTTTTTAAGGGAAAAGGCAATTTTCAACCAGAGCCCAAAAAGCCCCTGAGCTATGAGAGGTCAGACCAGGGTGCACTCACACAGCGGCACCGCGGTGACCAGGGACAGAAGAGCCAGCCGTGACAGCAGCAGCACCACGCTTTAATGCCGAGCTGGGAAACCCAACCAGTTTCAGGGTCCCGCCGGGAGAGAGCAGAGCCTCCGCACCGACACAGGGCAACGCGCGGGCGCTGCCCGAAACCACGCCAAACACACAGACCCTCTCCCTTCCACCTTCACCACTTTTTGCTTCTTTAAATAATTTTCCAAGATAGTTTCTCCTTCGCGCTAAAATAAACATTCAATTATTTCCTTTGGAGGACCGAACTCCGACCGGCAGCAAGGCAGGGCAGAGCGTGCGGGGGGAAGGATGCCCTTTCACTGGGCTTGGGGTTTCTCACTCCCCAGGCAGCTGGCCAGAGGTTGACAGGGATGTCCTGGATTATACTGGGAATTAAACACCAAGGGGCGAATGCTCCTGTGCAGAGATCCACAAGAGACGGCCAAACGCAGATGAGCACTGGAAGCTGCTTCACTTCACGATGTGTTTCTACAGAGCCTGGAGGCTCCAGGTCACGCCTGGAGGATCTCAACAATTTCTACTCCTCACCTAAATCCTCTTCACCACTGTTGGGCTCCCAGCTTGGATAACTGACTAAAACAGGATGGCAGAGGCCAAGACAAAATATAGACAAAAAATAAGAATATAACGCTCCTGTTGCCACTGCTCAAGCATCCTTTGGATGGACTTGATACAGCCCCTTGAATTCTTCAGCATCCCAGCAGCCCAATGAAACAAAACGATATATTTGGACAAAGAGGAAAGGCATTTTAAGGAGGAGAATCAAGGAATCCGCACCACAGGATCGAAGATATAGAAGTTTGATCCCTGAGAAGGGGCATAATACAGCAAAAAAAGCCCAGCTGTAGAAGGGGTCAGATACTCATCTGGTGCACATCAGGTCCCTTCGAATAGCTGTGTCGATTCACATTGCTCTAGATAGCCGAATATTTCACCAATGACTCATGTCATCCCCTTATGGAGTTTTTTAAAAGCCCAAATAGTCCCAACTGTGAACAAAGGAAACCATTATGCACAGTTAGTTTCGAAAGATCGTATGCATAATCCCAAAAGGGAAAGAAAGAAACCCAGAAGTGATACTGGAGCAGCTCTGCAAGACTACGCTAAATTCAAAGAATCAAATAATCTTTGTTCCTTTGAGCATAAATCTTTTTTTTTAAAAAAAATAATCAATCATTTGGGTTTCTAACAAAGCAGTGGTGTTAGCCGCTAACAGCAAGCAAAGAGCAGGCCTTTCCTCCACAGAATATCATTAAACCACGCAAAAAAAAACCCTGCTGCAAATGCCATGCAAAACTTAAAGACACAACGCACAGAAACCAGGCGAACGTTGAGGGCCTTGGGGGAAACCCCAGCCCCGTTCAAGAGCAGCAAATACCCCGTTCATTTTAAAGAACGGAGGATTTCCCGTTCTCCCCTGGTAGGGAAAAGAAAAAAAAAAAAAAAGCCGCAGTCCAGAGCTGGCTCTGCCAGGACAGGGATCGCTCAGGGGAGGAAAAAGGGTGCTGAAGGGTCAGGGAGGAGGACGGGCTTTCTTCTGACACGGGAGCAGCTCCGGCCAGGGCGATTCCCGCCCCGTGCCAGCGTGGGAGCCAGGGCACGTCTGTCCGTGGGCCAGAGAGCGGCCAAGGGCCACATCCGTCACCGAGAGGTTAGGGACTGCCCGCTGCCGGTGCCAAGAGCACAGGGCAGAGAGCGCCCAAAAGAGGGGCTTCGACCCCTTTCAAGGAGCTGCTGACCCCCATTCCCACAAACCCTGAGGGGTTAAAAAAAGAAAAAGCACCGAACAAAACCCAGAGCACAGGGAAGGGCAGTGGTGGGGTCCCCAGACGGGCCGGTCTGAGGGCGCAAAGCCAACACACAGCGTCCCTTTTCCCTGCTCGAGGACCGCCTCCCCCATCCCCGCAGGTATCGGGGGGGATTCACGCCGGGTTTCACCAGTTGTTCCCAAGAAGGGGGGGACAGCACGACTTCTTCTAACTCCCTTCTCCACCGAAGCAAAGCACCGCATCGGCTCCCGAGAAGAACACGAAGCCTTTTAAGGCAGAGCCCAAGCCAAGCCCTGCCAAACCCCCAGCCCACGGCAGCGCGACTGTTCAGTGTCCGAGGAGTTTTTACGGGCCCGTCCTGACAGCGGGGTCAAAAGAATTAGGTGAATCACCGGCTTCGTAGTCGCCGTCGGTGCCTCTGCTCCCGCTGCAGCAGAGATGCCTCGCATACCACCCTGCCCACGGCCCCGCGCTGCTCCCATCCCGGCCAGCCCGCAGCCAGGAGGAGCTTTCCAATCCCCCACCGCTTGGAGCAAGTATTTCTGGGTCACCGTGACATTTTGGGAAGTTTTCCGGCAGAAGTTTGATTGCTGACAGGAGTCCTGCCCTTTAAAGAAACACTGAGGGTGAACAGAGTCTAAAACTTTTTGAGTTATTAAAACTACAAACCGACGGAGTCAGCAGATCTGCAAAAGGAAACGGTGACGGAGTATGACTCCATCTTCGGAATGATTAACTGAGAGGTCTTAAAGAGAGCTCAGCTTTAGGAGCAGTTTCTGAAAGCCAGCCATAAAGGGATGCAAGTTATGTGCAAACGATCAGGCACTCTCCTCTCCTTCCCTCCCGCCCCTAGTCTCTGGTTCCTTTACCCAAAAAATCCCCTTTGAAAATCCTTGCAGGGCCCCTGGACTGCCTCAGCCCTGAGGGAGCACACAGAGATGTACCAGCAAGAGATGGAAATCACATCCAAGGGATCTGCCCTTCTTCCCGAGCAAAACCTTGGCGCAGCCCTTCGGAAAGCGGCTCTGCAGGTATAGCGCAGAGGTTTTCCAGGTTGAGGTGTTTTCCAGGTTTTACCCCTGTACTCGGCCCTGGTGAGGCCACATCTTGAGTACGGTGTTCAGTTTTGGGCCCCTCACCACAAGAAGGACATTGAGGTGCTGGAGCGTGTGCAAAGAAGGGCAACAAAACTGGTGAGGGGTCGGGAGCACGTCTGACGAGGAGTAGCTGAGGGACCTGGGGATGTTCAGCCTGGAGAAGAGGAGGCTGAGGGGAGACCTTCTCGCTCTCTACAACTACCTGAAAGGAGG